TGAGCTGATATCAAGGGCTCAAGTAGAAAGCAAATGTTTTGAAAATGATTATGGCAACAAATGTACAAGTGTGCTTGACACAATGAATGGATATACGGATTGTGGTAAGAATTGTATGAGCCCCAATAAAATGATTAAAAAGCAAAAACAAAAGAAAGCTGTTCTCTCATCATGATTTCAGTGCAGTGAAACCCATTTTGCACTCTGACCTCCAGAAGTGTACCATAACATATTTGCATTATTTTAGGCCAGAAAACTTGGGCGAATTTGTTGTGGCAGCAACAAGAAGTTAATCACATCTTCATGGAGTCTTGCTTTCTACCAATTCTCAAATCTCTTTTGATTTCCATTTCAAATGTTAATACTGGAGCTCAGGTCTTAATGTGTTAGCTCCAGGCTCTTATAATAGAAATCATTTAGGGAAATAGTCCTAAGTCAAATGTCAGAAGACCCAAGTTCTACTCTTTCTCTGTAATTAATTCACTTGTGACAGCTGAAAACCTCTCTGCCATTCTTCCTTGCTCCACCCCCACCCCCAACACACACACACTCACAACCGGGAGGAAGGTTAATTTAATAAGACAATAAAATTTCTTTCAAACTCATATTAGTCATTGTACGATATGCCTGTCTCTTGCTTCATCACATCTTTCATCCATTTTATGTGCCAATCAAGAATACTCTTTTTAAAACCTGCACGACATAAACTCTTATGTAGACCCTTGAGTTGACTATTCATGCTTACAGGTTAAATAAATCCCTATGAAAGGTGTTTGATGATCTTCCCACTCTCCCTTATCTCTTCAACATTATTTTCTTCCCAAAGTCGTCTACCCACTTCAGCAGGTCTACTCGTTTCTCAAGCCTGGCTCGTTCAGGCTTTTCCTCCTTCCTCCAGTGTCCATCTGACGGACGTCTAGTTACCACATGCACCTGGCACTTTCTGCAGCACCAAGCAGGAAGCACTTTCCAGGGACTGCTCCAGCCCCACAATTACAGCCTACACTATGTTTCTCAAACTCAATTCTGATAAGAATTAATACCTTATTAAAATTTACCAAATCAAAAAGGTTGCAATATAGTAAAGCAATGATACTCAAACACATCACCAGAGTGTCCATTCTGACTCATAGAGACTTTATAAGACAAGGTAGAACTGGACCTGTGGGTTTCTGAGACTGGAATTGCTTTATAGAAGTAGAAAGCCTTGGCTTTCTCCTGCAGAGCGACTGGGGGTTTTGAACTGCTGGCTGGCAGTTAGCAGCCCAGCACATAAACACTACACCATCGGGGCGCCTAAAGCAATGATAGAAGGAGGATAAACGAAAAGGGAGAAAGCTCAAAAGGGCCAAAGCTTGCTTTTAATTAAGGGAATGGAGAATAAATGTGCCCAGAACTAATTTAGTACTACTTTTCATTATTATTCCTTCATTTATTGCTAGGTATTGTCCCTCAAGGTATAAGTCTTTAATGAGATTTCTGGTGTTTCTTTTTATTCACATCATTTAAGAGAAAAAATGACCAACTAAGGATACTTACTTGTTTGCTCTAAATCATATGTGAATAATGATATTAGCACACTGTTATGGATCGAAATGTGTCTTCCTAGGATAAATGTCAACTTGGCTAGGCCATGATTCTCAATAATTTGGCAGTTGTGTCATGATGTAATTTGGCAGTTGTATGATCCTGTAATCATCCTCAAACAAGTTATCTGATAAAATGAGCCAAGTGGTTATAAAGGAAGTAGAGTGAGATAACATCGTTACTCAATTCACAGTCCTGATCGAATGTAAGGGGAGCTTCCCTGGGTATGGCCTATATCATCTTTTTATCTTTCAGGATATAAAAGGAGAGAAAAGTACGTCGATCTGTGGAACAACTACCACCAAGAAATTAGAACCAGGAATGGAGCAAGTCCTCTAGCCTCGGGCTCCCTGCACTGCGAACCTCCTAGACCCAGGGGAAGATTGATGCCAAAGACACACTGGGCAGCAGATGATGAAAGTAACAAGAAAGTTCCTTCAGAGCCCACAGAGAACTGCTATCCTAGAGCCTCTGCCCTGAATCTAACCTTCTGGCTTCTCAATGGTGAAGGAATAAATGTCCATTTGCTGAAGCCATCCACTTTTGGTATTTCTGTTATAGCGGCACTAGATCACTCAGATGCACACCAAAGCTGTTATTAGCTCCATCTATTCATGACGTATGTGAAACACTTAGAGAGCTAATCAGAGTTTATGGATCAAGTTAAGAGGCTGCTTGAGCTCAGTATATGCTAGCCAAAGAATCCCCAATGCTCGACCATGTAGACTCTCACATACTCATATTTCTTGGCTTCCAAAGGCTTACCATTCAAGCAACCTTTTTTGGTAAATGTCAAGCATGACTTATAGTCCTCTGAGTCCTCTTGAAATTCTCTTGTTTCTAAGTGGAAATTTCTCCTATCAGTGACCTAACGTTTATTTCATTGCAAGTTGTGCACCCACAGCCGAATCCCAGGGGAGTCAGCCCATCCAAAAGGGTTGGCTGCAGCTGTTCTGACTGGAAGAACCGTGTGCTGAGCATTTCTTATCCTGAATTATAACCTATTCGTTTCTCTAAGAAATCCTATGATTATGATTACGATCTGTGAGTTCTATGACTATTGTTATGAATTTTTGGACCAAGAAGAGATTGAAGAGTGCCATGGGAGGGACAGTTGGTGCTAGAATTGATAAGAGGGTTGGAGTGTGGGAGCAGGTCTGACTCCTGTCTCCTAGGAACCAGCCTTGGGCAGATCAGTTTGATTCTAGTGGGGAGGTATGTCTGACCTGCCTCAAAGGAATCAATGTTGGGCTGATATGTAGTTCGGTTGTCCTTCCCCTTGCGAAGTCAGAGGAGGTCAGACTCTGAGACCACACCTTTTTGTGCGCGCGCGCGCACACACACGGAGGGATCATACAATACTTGCCTTTACATACTTGACTTATTCCACTTAGTTTATGCCCACCAGGTTCAGCCACATTTTGATTGCATAATATTCCTTTGTATGTATGTATTGTATGTCACTTACCCATTCATCTGCTAATGGGCACTTTGATTTTTTCCTTTTTCACTATTGTGAATAATCGTACAATGAACATAGGTGTGTACATGCCTGTCACGTCACTACTTTTCCGTCTTTAGAGTATATACGCAGGAGTGGCATTGCTGAATCATAGAGTAGTTCTATTTCTAGTTTTCTGAGGTCAGGCCATACCATTTTTCACAATAGTTATGCCATTTGGATAAGGGTCACCCCAACAATGGATAAAAGTCCTAATCTTCCCATATCTTTGGCAATATTTGTTATTGTCTGTATGCTTTGTCTTAAAAAAACTCAGTGTCATTTTATCTGGGAAGAGATAGTATCTCAGTGTAATTTGATTTGTATCTCTCTAATGGCTAATAATCTTGAGCATCTTTTCTGGGTTTACTAACTAACTAAATGTTCTCTTTGTGTCCTAACGAACTAAAGGTTCTGTTCATGTCCTTTGCCTGATTTATTATTGGTTTGCTTCTATTTCAGTTATTGAATCACCAGTCTTTTATGAATCTTAAAAATAAGACCCTTATCAGAAACTGCACATATGTGCCTATAATTAGAGGAAAAAACAGAAGAGAGGTAGATATATACATGCTTCAAGAGAGTGTCAACAGTTGCTCAAAGCAAGCAAAATGGCCTAGAATGAAATCTCTTCAGCCAGTACACATCCTCTTACTCTCACAATGTACACTCTGCGAAGACCAGAACTCCCTCCTCCGTCTTTTTGGCTATGCAAGTACCACATCATTTTTACCTGGGTCATTTTTCAGGGTTGTGTTTGCAGGAAGCAACCAGGAGGAATAAGATAACTTCTTTCCCCAGACAAAGAGCAGGCTTGTTGTTGCTTATTCTGAAAGTAAGAGATTCCCTAAACAAAGTGATCTTCTCCTCTACTCTAACCCAATGTGTGTGTAATCATCAGGAAAGGCATCCTGTGTCATCCCCATGGTATTTGGGATCATGTGGAATTGACACAAAGGAACATGAGGCCCATGCTGCCTGCTGGGCCATGAGTAATATAGTCGTTGCCTCTGACTCAGGAGTCTCCTGTCTTCTGCCAGAATGAAGAACAGAAACAAAACTCGCTTATTAATTTGTATGTGGGGCAAAGTCCCAGCTCCTCCGCAGATGCTAAAGGCTCTTTCTCTCCTTCTTCAGTGTTGGGCTGGTATGTAGTTTGGTTCTCCTTCCCCCTTGAGAAGTCAGAGGAGGTCAGACTCTGAGACCACACCTTTTTGTGCCTGAAAGAGTGGATCCTCAATTTGTTAAAATAGTTTCTTCAAAAATATTTTATTTCAGTTTAACCTCATTTATGAGCACGAAATGATCAATACAGACTTTGAAATTGCATGGCATATTGTTTATTGCTGATTAAATATCCATGCTGTGTGTTCTCGGCTGAAATTCAAATAAGAGGGAGTCGCTGGTACTTTCATTAAGAAATACTTCTAAACAAACATAAAAGTACTTCTAGTGAGTGATGAAAATCGAAGACATATGGAAACAATTGGTCCTATGGCCTCCCAAACATCAGTCTCCTGGCCCTGAGACCAGAAGAATTAGATGGTGCCCAGCTACCACTACCAACTGCTCAGAAACTGGTCACATTAGAAGGTCCTGGATACAGTGGGAGAAAAAGTATGTCAAAACTTGATCTGTTCAAATCAAGACTGGTAGAAGTCTCTGGGTTGTGCCCCTCAGTCATTCGTCAGAGGTGGAACTGAACTCATGCCTGTAAAACAACACTAGTGAGGTATGCACAGCTTAGAATAACCAACCGTTTGAGACCAGATAGGCAGCATTTGCCCAAGGACAAAGTGTGGAAGGGCTAGGAGAGAAGAAGGAGGAGTTTGAAAACACAGGAGGGAGGTGAGATGAGTAATATTGCATGGAGGGGGTTGCAATGAATGAGATGAAGCTAAATATGTATGAATCACTGAATTTAAAACTAATGCTTTCCTCTATAAACCTTCATCCAGTTCACAATAAAAAGTGTTTTGAAATACTTCTAATAATTTCTGCAGTTTCTCACTCCAATCTTCATTTAGTTAATTAGCAGTGTCCCTTCTTTTCTATTTCTTACCCCACTGGCGGTCTAATTGTGTCAGTAATTTTGTACCCAAAGTGGTGCATTGTTTTTCATAAAATTTGTTGTTTTGTATTGTAGGCCTGTAATTCTTAAGAAATTACTAATTTTAATCTCTCCATTAGGCAATCCAGGTATGATAAAATGTAAACCCCCTGGCGGTCTAATTACGTAACTAATTTTCTGCAGACTTCTCTCTAGTGTAATCCGAGTGACTCTCAGAGTTCCCGCTTCTGACAGTTAAAATTTACCCCAAAACACACTCGGGATTACCACCAATATTAATTAATTGATGTTTGAAATGAACTTGTGTGTCATTAAAGACTCAAAGTCCACCTCAGTTTTATTTTCCCTCCTTGCAGCCACTCACACGTGATATTTAGATCAGAGGGGTAAGGAATCTGTATTTGTATTTTTCCGTGGAGCAGTTTTATTTATTTGTTTGTTTGTTTGTTCGTGTTAACCTTCATTTTTTTGTCCTCCCATCATCCCTTCCCTCTCCCTGTTCCTATCTTCAGCCCTGACCTCTGCATAGTTCTGCATATTTTAAAAATTATATGTTAATCAGTACACCAGAGAATCATATTTTAGAAAAAGCATCAACATCTTAATTGTATTGTGGTATATATTTTAAATTCATCTGTTTAATATAAAAATATTCACATTATAAAAATAGTGAATACCAATTAATAAAGAAATTTATTAAAGTTCTATCACCATTCATTTTTATTGAACCCACATCAGGTTCCATATTATCAAATCCTGAGAATGTAAACAACTCATTTTTCCCCTTCACCCTAAAGAAGGCATTGAGCCTGAGGTAGTTAGTTTATTGTGCTAACCTGGCCAATAAACACATGTGGGGTTAATTGAAGAGCGGAGAGATAAATGGCTCGGTGAGCCTCGCCTTTCTAGTTCTCGGGTCTCTTGCTTTCTGATGGTCAGACCAGGGTGCACCTGCCTTAGCCAATTCCCTGATTCGGCTGGCAAGGCTCACTTCCTGCAAGACATCCCTGAAGAGAAGCCTCATTGACCTACCGTGATGCAGCCCTGGGTGCTAGAACAGCCCTGCCAGCGCTGAGATGCTTACACATTCACTGATTCGTCTTTCCTCCTGAAGTCGGCATCATTGCGTGTGCCTTGTGAGATGGAGGAGGACTTTGTGGATTGGTGTCAGACATATGGGTTAATGTTGGACTTGTGGGCTTGGGAAGTACTGGGTTGGGATGTTTTCTTGATGTGTACTTAACCTTTATATAAAACTCTGTCTTATACATATGATTTTCTGTGGATTTGTTTCTCTAATGTACCCAGACTAACACAGAGCCAAAGGTTATTGTCTTTAAGATCTCAGGGGGGAAACCTCACTGTGACTATAATTGAATTATCTATAATGGAAGTAACTTCAGGTGTGTGGCGCTTTTCCACAGAACCTTCACTCATAAGAATGAGAAAGGCTACACTTGAGCTATCTTTCCCAGAGCACGTGCCTCAGTCCCTGTGCTGCGTGCACTTCCACCTGCATCGTGATGCACCCTCTGCTGGGACACAGGGTGATGTCACGGATTCATTGTATTTTTCTCAGCAGGTTGCAGGGCTTTTTGCATATAAGCTCTGCACCTTTCGAAATACCAAGTAGCTTGTGAAAATGACTGGGTTTTTTCTCAGTGAGGGGCTGTATAATTGGTTTTGACTAAATGGAGAAATTTTTTTTTCATTTCAAATGGGAAACTAAGCTACCACTAGTACCACTAGTACCATCAGAACAAAACCTCCGTGAACAAAATGAAACATCAACACGTACTGTAATTCTGTAAAAATGGCAATTGCCTTCAAGTCATTGGATTGAATAATCTCTTTTAGCATTCGAAAACATGTGGATGGTGAGAATGTTATAACGAGGGAATAAAATAGGACTCACTCCCACAAGATTTGGAAACCTTGGCTTTTGAAAATATGGTCATTAAAATCTATTTTTGA